TTCAGCTTGTGGTTCTCCTACCTCGGGGGTATGGGGCCCAATTATATCGCGAGCATACCCCCTCCTACCGTCCTGCTGTGGTTCCCTCTTTATGTTTCCAGTTGCAGAAGATCTTTTTTTGCTAGGTTCTAGTCTTTTTTCAATGGTTGTTTAGCATTCAGTTGTGGTTTCATTGTTGTTGCAAGGAGAGGCAAGCTCGTGGTCCTACCACTCCTCCATCTTGACCAGAACTGAGCTCTGGGTGTGTTTCTGTTAATGAAACAACCTCACATTCATAATGGCTGATCTTTTCACTACATTTAGCAAGAAAGCCACAGAAGCTATATTAGGCTCATAAAATCTATTTGAAAAATAACCAAGACCCTGAAATATGAAGAAATATACCAGTATCCTAAATGGAAAATTTTAGTATCATGAAAGTAACAGTTTCTAAATTAACTTGTGAACAAACTGTAGTCCAGTCTGATTACCAGTGGCTGATTTTTTTTCCCCTAAACCTGGAGTTGGAAATAAAAACACATTTGAAGGAGAAATGTTCTGAGAGTAGTCAGTACATTTTCGAGAAAGAATACCAGTGAGAAGGCTTGGCCTTCAGGGTGTTAACCAGGTCGTATACACTTGATGGTCCCAAAAGGAGGTTGGTGTGGCGCAGACAGCCCGATCAGTGTAAGAGAAGGGGGTCTGGAGATGACTGAGGAGAATTCAAAGGAGGGAGAATTCATTTAATAACTGGCGCCATCCCTTTGCAGGCAGCGGGGACCCTCTTCCTCCCCACCGTTAGTGCACATGAACTTCAGAAGGATTAAAGCTCTAAATATGTTTGTAATTTCAGAACTTACAAAATTCGGGAGAATATTTGAATAACCTTTGAGTGGGGATTACAAGATAGGAGACCTAGAATTTAGAAAGGAAAAGAAAGGCAGGTCTTCTTGGCTCCCCGGAAACGAAAACACTGCAGGGTGACTGAGCTGTGGTAGCTGGGCTGCTGCTCTGGGAGGTACGCAGCCCAGGTGGTGCCTCCAGCTGACTGGGTATCCCCAGCCCCTAGGGCTCATTACTGTATCAAGTTAACATACTCAAAGAAGAGGACACACAGTTGGGCATAAACATCAGGGTATGTTCAGCCTCCCTAGTAGATGGAAATGCAGGTTAGCGAACCATTCTTCTCCGACCAGATGGCAAAACTGTGAAACTTGTAGCATCCAGTGCTGACAAGGATGTGGGGAAATGGCATATTGTGGGAGTGCGATCGCTGTAATCTCTCTGGAAAGGTATCTTGTTATCTGTTAAGATTAAAAATATACCTGCTCTTTGAACCAATGACTTCCCATTGGGTTTTATGTCTTTGATGAATAAAGGAATCACTGTCTTTTGGAATACAAGTGTACGGAGGTCCACATGCATCTACGTCACTGCAGTGTGCCTGTTTATAACCCAAAATGCATGAGGTTCTGTGTATTCTCACCATGAACTTGAAAGAAATTTTATCTAGTCACAGGAAACAAAAAGCCAGAAGCAGTGATGATCAATATTTCTGTATGTTTGCATGTGTATGTACATATACATATACGTGTATACGTTCAAATTTTGAAGAGCTAAACATCGATTTCCAGAGGGGGTCTTCATGTTGTGTCAGCTGCAAAACTAGCACCCCCCAGCGTAGTGCTTAAAACAACAGCAACAGCATCTGCTCTGCCCACAAACCTGCAGGTGGCCAGACTCAGAGAGCCACTCCTCCATGTCTGTGAAGCCAGGGCCAGTGTCCTGGGAGGGCTCTTCCATCACAGCTGTGGCCCAGTGCTGGGAGCTTCAGGCAGCAGAGCGCTGTCCCCACCAGCCTCTGTCCCTCTGTCCTCCCACATGCCTTCTCAGTGTGTCTTCACAGACAGCCCGGGGGACCTTTCATGACTAGCCTCAGAAATCACCCAACATCACTTCTGCCATGCTGGGTCCATCAGAGGTCACGACCCATCTGGGCTCGAGCATGGTGGGCTGCTGCTTTCCAGGGAGCAGTAGCGGCTGGGGAGCTGGTAGGGCTGGAGTCCCTGCCAGCCGTTTTTATGAGACGTCTTGAAACAAAAGCTAAAAATAAAGACTTTTTTGATGAAGCACAACTGAAGGCTCTGCTCTGGGCTGTTCTCAGATGCTAACAAATTAGGACCCAGACAGCATCGGGACTCTGCCTGATGACCCTGTACACCGCTACCTCACTCCTTTACTTACCCACAGTGTCCCGATGGCCTATGTGTCAGGGCCATGACGCGAGAGCCCAGGGGACTGCGACAGGGCATGGAGAGCCATCTTCCTGTGGGGTTTGGAGACAGCAAGCGTCACAGGCTGAGGCAGGCAGCCCCTGAAGCCCCTGAGCCCCTCACTCTTTTTCTCCGGTTCCACATCTCTGCTTATCTGAGGTGGCTGGCAACACCCCATGATGGGGTGGGCTGTTCCCACTGGGTTTGCTGACACCATGGACAGTGCCAGGAAGAGTGACATGGGCCACTTCACCGAGGGCCTCCCCTCGAGGGCCTGCCCGGCGCTGCATGTGCTGTGCTGCTGGGCTCAGGGCCAGCTGCATGATGGTCATGGGTGACGAGGCAGGGCTGGGCTGGGTGCTGTGGGCAAGGGGTTGGAGGGACATTGACGGCCCCATCCTGGCTTCCAGATTCAGGGTCTCCTGGGTGTCGGGGGCCACCACAGGGTGCATACACTTGGTCATGGGTGCTATGCGGCTCTGTGAGCAGTGTGTGCTGTTTCCATTATTGGAAAAACAAATTGTTGACACAGGATGTTTTCATAACCTTGTGTTTCAGGAGTAGATCCATCTCTACAAGCAGAGAGTAGGACCTCCGGGTCCTTACAAGCCACAGCCCCAGCAGCCAAACAGCAGAAGCCACGGCCCAGCAACGCCCGGGACGAGCGCTTCAGGTCAGGTAGGGACCTGAGACCCGCAGGCCCCGCTCGGACACTGCGTCTCCGCTCAAGAAATTGTCTCCCCTTGAATGATAATTTACCACATCATATTTTTCAAGAGAAAATATAATTTCCACATAACTTAGTAGGTTTTCATCTGGCCTGAGTGTGAGTGCCCTCTTAGGGGATGCTCATAAGAACCCTTCCTTTCCCTATCAGAGTAGTTTCTGTAAATGTTTGTGTCCATCTTTCTACCTAGATCTTTGCGGTTGGGGTTGGTGGTTTTTTTCGTTAGGGTCCAGCTTTTACTACTATAGGTGTTTTTAGGATTTTTTTTTCTTTTTCTGATTTTGGAGATTTCCTTCTAATTAGGTTTCTGCCACTCTATCAGTGCTTTTATAAGTATTTAACTTTGTCTCTGGCATTTTATTTAAGTTATCAGAACACCCATTGAAAAAACTCATGCCTTCAGTTATAAATTACATATCAATAACTTTTGAATACACTTTCACCTGTTTAACAATATTCTCACTGTTGTGTGATTGTGTATTTCCTTTATACTTAAACTCTTTCAGTAAGCCTTTATATAAGGAAAAAAATCCAACAGAGGTAAAGAAAAGGACATTTATAAAATACCTAAAAAGAACATTAAGATTTTAACTGTTTTGTCAACAAGGGAGTGTGATGAAGGAATCTGAGAAATTTTTGATCAAATAATTTCTTACCAATTTAATATACATTTAAAAAATATAATAGTTTATTTTCTGATAATATAAATGATACATGTAGTACAAGATATTACATCAAATCTAAGGACAAAAGGAAATATCACCTTATCTGAATCCTGTGATGGGCCATCAGCATTTCACTGAACATCGTCTTCTTTAGCCCTGGGTACAACAAAAGCACACGCATGTACATGCTCCACAAGTGGGGTCCTGTGAAGATCTCCTTCTAGTCCCTGCCTGTCCTCATTTCCCTCCCTCCATCTCCTGTCCGTCTCCTGGTAACTGACACTGATGAACTGCTACTTCTGCCCTTGGGAACTGTATCTGGTTCTCATCCTTTATGTTCTGAAAGCAAGACCTTTATCATAAATATGCTTTGCTCATATTTTCTCCAAGCCTTGTGTTGTCTTTGCATTCTCTTAGCGTGGCTTTTGTCAGTTTTTAATTTTAATGAAGTCCATCTTACCAGTTTGTTTTCATGAATAGTGCTTTTGTTCCTGTCTCTAAGAAATCTTTGCCAAACCCAAGGTCACAAAGATTCTCATCTGCCAAGAAGAAATAAGTCATTTGAACAGACCAATCAGTAGGAGCAAAATAGGATTAGCAATAAAAAACCTCAAAAGTTCAGGACCAGATGGCTTCACTGGGGAATTCTACCAAACATACAAAGAAGAACTCATACCAATCCTTCTCAAACTCTTCCAAAAGATTGAAGAGGAGAGAATACTCCCAAACTCATTCTATGAAGCCATCATCACCCTGATACCATAACCAGACAAAGACACTACCAAAAAAGAAAACCACTGTCCAATATCGTTGATGAACATAGATGCAAAAATCTTCAACAAAATATGAGCAGAATCCAACAACACATAAAAAATTACACACCATGATCAAGTTGGGTTCATCCCAGGGACACAGGATGGTTCAGCATACACAAATCAATCAAGGTGATACACCACATCAACAAAAGAAAGAACAAAAACCACATGATCATCTCAGTAGATGCAGAAAAAGTATTTGATAAAATTCAACACCCATTTATGACTAAAAACTCTTACCTAAGTGGGTATAGATGGAACATATCTCAACATAGTAAAAGTTATTTATGACAAACCTACAGCCAACATAATACTCAATGGTGAGATGTTGAAAGCCTTCCCACTAAAATCTGGAACAAGACAAGGATGCCCACTCTCACCAGTTCTATTCAACATAGCCTTGAAAGTCCTAGCCACAGCTATCAGGCAAGAAAAAGAAATAAAAGGGATCCATATTGGAAGAGAAGAGGTAAAATTGTCACTATATGCAGATGACATGACATATATATAGAAAACTCTAAAAGCTCCGTACAAAAACTACTAGAGCTGTTGAAAGAATTTGGCAAGGTAGCAGAACACAAGATTAACATACAGAAATCAGTTGTACTTCTTTACACTCGCAATGAAATACCAGAAAAGGAAAGTAAGGAAATAATCCCTTTTGAAATCTCATCCAAAAAAATAAAATACTTAGAAATAAATCTGACCAAGGAGGTGAAAGACTTGTAAGTGGGGATCTACAAAACATTGATGAAGGAAATTAAAGATGACTTAAAGAAACGGAAAGACACCCCATGCTCTTGGATTAGAAGAATTAATATTAAAAATGGCCATACTATCTAGAGCAATCCTACAGATTTTAATGTGATCCCTATCAAATTATCCCAGGGACATTTTTTTCACAGAAACTAGAACAAATAATCCTA